TTTGAACCACCAGCCTTCTGGTTAGCAGTCAAGTGCCTTAGGCACTATGCCACCAGAGCTCCTACAACTAGCCAGATGCACACTAAAGTAAGAAAGGAAAGAGAGAGGACAAATGGAGCCCAAGAGCAGCAGATTCATGCCATTACCTGGCCTTGATCTGCTCAGGATATGCAATGATATCAAATACCTAAGTGGAAAGAGATTCCTTATGTTCCCAATATTCTAGTTACTTACAGGAGGCTTATAATGCCTCAGCCTGAGAAACTGCCCTCTGGCCATGTTCATGCTTTGGTAGTACACCTTGAGAGCTTTGGCAAGTTCTCCATCATAGCTGGCTCTCTGAGCACACATTTGATTAATCTCTTTGGCTGATGGCAGTTGTGCTGCCATTTCAATTATCTTCAAGGTACTGGAAGGCTTATGGGCTGTGGTAGAAAGGAAAGATAATATTAGCTATTCACCTATTTATCGAAGTATATTTTTGTTTGTTTTATTTGGTGGCATTCTACTACATTAGTATTATCAGGCATGAATTTGGACCCATTCAAAGATAATACAGGGCAGAAAAAGGGGCTCTACATTTTTTTTATTCATTAAACAAGATATGAATAAACTCATTAAGAAGTAAATTTCTTAGAAAAGCAAATATACATCCCAGATGTTCTGAGGTAAGCTAAATAACCAAGACTTCAGTAGCCACTCACCTTCTTGAACAGAACCAATTTTCTCCAGTGATTCTTTGAGAAACAAATTTTCCTCTCTTAGGGCTCTGTTAATGTTTCGGAGCAGTTCAGTCTCCTGTTCTAACTTGAGCAGCTTCAGGTAAAGTTCTGATATCTGATTTGATGTAGTCTCAAAAAAAAAAAAAAAAAGTCAGTTTAGCCTTTTGCTAGATTATTTGCATTTCCTTTGAGACTTGCATCATTTGCTACCACATAAAAACTAGATGGGGTGGCAGGAGGATGTCCATGGTGGGAAGTAGGGTTTAAGTCCCCCAGGGTCCATAGAAGTAAATCAAGAAAACTTTAGTTAAAGAGAAGAACCATCTGTGACCCCCAGGCAGCTGTGATCTGAGATTTTCTAGTCATCTGTAACATCCATTTTAATGTCAGATAAGTGTTGTCATAGTGAAACAACCAAATTTACACTTCACTACAATTAGAGAGTTTTATTGAAGGAATAAATGCATTTCTCAAAGTGGGAAACATTCACAGACATCCATGCAATGCTCCAAATTGCCAGGGGAGCAGTGAGAGTTTAAATGGTGTCACAAACAGGATTTGTCTAGCAGGTAT